TTAGCCGTCTGACTGTATTAAAATAAACTAAAGCTCCATACTCTGTTTCTACTTCTTCAGAATGCCCCATAAAGTGGCGATGGTTAAGGGCACTGGCACGAAGAAAATTCACAATCTTGATCACTTCTTCCATCACACCATACCATGAATTCGAGTTGCATATTTCACAGCACAAACTCTCCTGATAATGATGCAGTGGAAGCTGGGCACACCAACTTTCTCATATGACTTGTAGAAACTTCTAAAACCCTCTTTTTTCTCTTGCATTGCTACAGGTGCCCCATCTGAGGCAAATAAACTCAGCTTTTCATGTTCAGACCAAACTTTTGAAATTCTTTACTGACAGCTTTCAGTATATCACAACTTTGAGTACGGTCTTTAAATAGGGACGAGGCTAGTAATTCTTCCTGCGCTTCAAAGTTTTCAGCGATAAGTCTAATCTAGATGCACAGTTGTGATGTGTCTCATTAATCTGGAATCATCAAGTACAAAACCAAATGCCAGGCGGGAGTTTAGTTCCTTTTCCATTTTTCTTCACTGTTCTCAGCCTGATATACAATTCTAGCTGTCATAAGTCGGCATCATCATCACTCGTTGGGTAATTTTTTTCCGTTTCCTTTTCACTCAAATCAGACCCAAGGGCCTCCAGTGCTGTTAGCAAGGTTTCTTTCAATATATCTGTATTCGAAAATTACATTTTTTGTCTTGCCAAGATCCAAGCGCATCTGAGTGTGGCAATCTGAATCATGTGACCTTCTCCCATGATTATTTTTTATTCGCTTCTGCTCATCTAGCGCAGTTTTAATCCCTTAGGTAGCGCTAGAGTGTTTAATCACCAGGTGAAATAGGCTGGGCGCCCGATTCTCAGGTAAACTACATGTGTCTCAACACCTGAGATTTCGTGTGTCTTCAAGCGATATTATAGATACTGCCATTCATACCAACTAAAGAGAGAGAAAAAACAAAGTGATAATTCCTACAATACTGCAACACTTAATAAACCTACAACAGTCTTGACCTTCAAGTAGAAAAACTAGTCACAGGTGTATTAATCAGGCGATGCAGAGTCACCAGGCTTCCGGAGCGACCAAACTTTCTTAATTTTTCCTTCAGATGTTGTGTCCGTGAGCGAGGCTGACAGTGTAGGTCAAGGAGGAGCATCACGAGATAACAGTAGCGTGTAAACATCACTTCTCGCTGATATATTTAAATGAATTTGTCGATTTAAGCTTTTGGTTGCGACAAAGTGATTTAAAAAAACACGTGCCAGTTTTTATGATAGATGTGTGTGTGTGTGTGTGTGTGTGTGTGTGTGTGTGTGTGTGTGTGTGTCTGTATGACTCAGTAAAAGACCCATTTACTAATTACTATTTCTATTAGGTCCACATTTCTCACTGGTGATTAGTTTGCCGTAAGTGCATGAGGCTCTTAAGGGTGTCGATGGTCGCGGGGTAGAGGAGGAGTAGGAGGTCAACTAAGGTAAATGATTTCATCTTAGTTAAGTTGACAGTCAATCAGTTATCATTTAACGTGTTGTGTAGCACATAACTCACAATAGCTATGTGCAAATGTTCTTTGATAATTTAGTTGTTGATAAGTTTCGTTCTCAGTTCTTAAAAAAAAATATCATCATCATATTTACATGTCTTTAAAATCCACAAATTTACACTCTTCAGGGCATAGTGGTTACAGTTAAGGGAGTTTCAATAATGCGCTGAGATGAGAGGGGGGGGGGGTTATTGTCATGGTCTCGATCACTCACGGTTGTAGAGTTTGTGATACATATTCACTGATGGATATTCTGGACGGAGGCTTGAGGCTTGTGTGTCCACGTCCTCATGACGCTGCTACATACGAGTATACAGTACCGGTTGCTTCTCTCACGAAGATCATCGCGTTTGAAGACGTGACCACCAATTCACGCAGGCTGTTCAAATACGTTCACGATACGCAACATGAAGTTGTTTAGCCTCAGCCTGTCTGTATACCTGTTCTGTAAGTAATCAAAACTCGTCCCAATGAAAGGAAATCGTTTCTTAAATTGCAATTAACTTCTTCGTCCGAACTAAAGATTGATAGGGGGAGACCATACTGTCTCTCTGTCTATATATATAGTGCTGCTAATATAGGTAACAGACAGGTGTCATCATCACCTGGTTTTATACTTTCACAAGATGGTGTTTAGGGAGAACTGTCAACCTCAACAATTAATGGGTGTACCGACGTTGGGGTCCAGCGTCACGGAAGCGTTTTGTTTGGGTGTGTTGGGGGGATCATCTCAGGACGAGGGCGACTTTATTTGATCTCTCGTATCTGGCACAGGAGCGGTGCTCGGTGGAGGTGAGGATGTCAGTCTTCCACATAGAGGCGTACTGAGTGAGGATGTGAGCCACCATCTCATCCTTTTTTCGTGATCCTTTCCGGGAGTTTACGGAGGGCGTCTTGTCTTTCTCTAACCCTCTCACTTAACCATTCTCCAGATAGCGACTGTACAAATGTTATTGGACAATATTTATTGAATCTCTTTGAAAGTTACTTAATGCTTACTGACCTCCAGGCTGTCATAAAGCGATAACACGAGGTCATCTTCCAGTTCTCGTTTTAGAGATCTGATAATTATCAGATCTCTAAAATCAGATCAGGTGTTGCGCCCTAATTATAATTAGGGCGCAACACCTGATAGGATTCCATGTCATTTAGGAACTGAATGAGAAATATAGATCGATTTCTTGAGATCATCTGCAGTAAGGCTTATGGATGCATACTGGCGAGTGTCACTGAAAGTTAATCTAAAAACCAGTGATTACTGTTTAAAAAAAGAACATTGATGTGCTGAGTTTCTATAACCACAGTCCTTTTATATTGTATTATTTTCGTGTAATTTTATTTTCACGTTAAACATACTGTATCTGGTCTAAACATATCACCCCATTACTAATATGACAAATACATACTTGAGACACAAACGCAAGTGAATTTAGTCGTGTGATATTTTCTGATGAACCGAATTGTAAACGCAAACGTTGTTGGATAAGTGTGGGGAGTCCTCTACTGTTAGTTACTTTACGTTCCAGCTGTTTTAAAATAAAAATACTTGGAGCTATTCATTTATAATCTAAAATATCAAGACTGAGATGAACACTTGAAATAATAATAATTTTCTTATGACATACAGTATCTGCGTCACTCGGTCAACGCTCGGTTCGTCTCTAAGTAATTGAGATTGTGGTTGGGTTAGCGACCTGTTCCAATACAAAGAAAAATAAAGAACATATCCCCTACAAATAAATAAGGCTTCTAAGACACTAAGCGAGTTCGCCTGAGGTGTAGACACGTGAAGAGTAACCTATATGACAAAGCCTCCTTCATCTGCCTTCCTTACAGTGGAGAGTATCCCAGGATCTATGGGGTGATCAGTAAACTGGAAAACACCATCAAGTTACTCCTACCACCTGTATAACTATAAGAACTTCGCCTCTCGTTAACTGTGGTCCTCTCACACTGCCACTTCTACGTTTTGGTTACATTTACGTTATATTTACGTTGCTGAGGCTGCCAAACTTCCTTAAGCTAGAGTGAGCGGGAAGATAAATGGAAAGTGGGTGAGTAAGTAAGAAGGTGAAAATGAAGGAGAGGAGAAAGGGGTAAAGAGACGGGAAGAGGATGTTAAGGGGAGGGTGAAAATGGAAGGTCTGAGGGGTGGAAGACGGAACCGAGGAAAGGAGGACGGTAACAGAGGAAAGAAAGATGGAATAGGGGAGAGGAGAGATGGTGCCAACTATTATTGCTGTTTCTGTGTGATGAAAATGACAATGAAGAAAACCACAACACCATCGCCTGCAAACGAGTGTAATCCCAACACTTAATTTCAAGACATTTGACACGTAACAATCTGAAGTCGCTTCGTAATATGTAACAATGTCTTTCCCAGTGTGTGACAACTTGTCCCACACTGTAACATTGTCCTCCCTGTGTGTAACAACCTAAAACTAACACATATTTTGTATTTTCCTGTAACCGAAAGTTGACGCGAAATTCTCAAAATTTTCTCTCATCCTTGATAAGTAAATGACTTATGTTACTGAAGATGATGAAAACAAATATTGGTTTAGCTGCTGAACTTTGTCTCTGGCGGTTAGGTTTACATATATTGTATCGGTTTATCCATGGTGTTTCCGGCTGTTAAAGTCTGTGTTTACAGCTAATTAATTATCTATACAGAGTTGAAAAGTAATTCATAACTGAGAAAAATATATAATTAACTAACTTAACAGTAGAAAACAAAGTTATCGGAGTGTTACATCTGGTGCGCCTCGCCACGCCTCGCCGTCAGTTTACTATACAGTACCAAGGCTCGCTCAACCGTCTCTGTCACTCTGACGAGGGCATCAGCTATTTTCTACCGGCCATCGTGAGCTGTTTGGATTGTTGGCCGAAATGTCTAAAGTTATCTGAATTTTTGTTATGGTTGCTTTGTAGAAAGTAATTATGAGACCCAACAGAAGCTGGAGATGGGAAGGTAAACCGCGAGAACTTCTGGACAATCTTGCGACTTCTTTAGTTCTCTCAAGGATTTGATTTTTAGATATCAACAAGACAGTTAATGATATCAAAAGTTGTTAGGGTATTTGTGACTTCCTCCCAGCTACACGAGGGTCATGTAGCATGTGTCCTTTTCTGGAATATTTCTGTACTGGTAAAGATGATACATGAACTGTGTATCACAGTCATGCAGGACAACCATTACATATTTTATAGTTTCCCTAATTTCGACTAAGCTGCTGAAGCAACGGTTTCTGTAGAGCATGTAACAACAGTAGACATAATCAGTTGTTGTGAGATATATTTGTTTCTGACAAATTAATTAGGCTGTAAGCGAGTCAAAATTCTTTTATGACCTTCTAGTATACAAGAGCCAAATAACACTTTTTTTTCTGTAAGTCGCTTTGGAAGGGTCAGCTGCCACTTGCTCCATCCAGTACAGATGGCATCAAGGGCAGTGTCCATGTGCATATAAGGGTTTACATTACATTACCACGTCAGTTGAATACTTGCAGCCTCCACTGAAGGTAAGATACATTCAATGGCTTGACTGTTATATGAGGTTGTACTCAAGTAGGTACTGTATATAAAAACTGTTATTTTACAAATAATCAAGTTGTAGATATATATTTGTGAAGATAGTTTATTTTATCATGATTCTGAGGAAATTATATTCTTAGGGGAAGGGTATTTTAAAAATAACAGGACGTTTGTTTGACTAAAGTAGTTAATATCTGCCATTTGATGTTGATATCTCATAAAGTTGTGTTATACCTTGTACCATATTGACTGTTCAGATGGTGTTAGTCTATATATAATATGCTGATATTCTGCATTCCAGATGAAATTAGTGTTGCTTCTGGGTGTGTCCCTCGTGGTGGCAGTAGGGGGCACCACCACCACCACCACCAGTACCGCCTCACCACCAGCAGAAGCTGTGGACCCCGGAAATGCCGCCGCCACTGAAAACGTTGTTGAAGCACGCACCAGAGGCAACAAGCCAAACGAAAGGGCCTTTGGCCTTTCTCTTGGATTATCACCAAGTGTTGGAACTGGTGGACACCCAGGATTTGGAGGTGGACGCCCAGGATTTGGAGGTGGACGCCCAGGATTTGGAGGTGGACACCCAGGATTTGGAGGTGGACGCCCAGGATTTGGAGGTGGACGCCCAGGATTTGGAGGTGGACGCCCAGGATTTGGAGGTGGACGCCCAGGATTTGGAGGTGGACACCCAGGATTTGGAGGTGGACGCCCAGGATTTGGAGGTGGACACCCAGGATTTGGAGGTGGACGCCCAGGATTTGGAGGTGGACGCCCAGGATTTGGTAACCCAGGATTTGGAGGTGGAACTGGTGGATTTGCGATTCCAGGAGTTGGAGGTGGAGCTGGACAATTAGGATTTGGACAACCAGGCTTTGTACAACCAGGATTGACAAGTGGATTTGGACAACCAGGTTTGGGAGGTGGATTAAATATAAATCCAGCACATGCAGGAATACCACCATTTGTAGGAGGAGGCGGTGTGAAGCCCTCTAGCGGTTGCCGCAATTGGTGCAGAACAGATAAGGGTCAGGCATACTGCTGTGAGACTGCCAGTGAACCTGAGAGTCCCTTCAGTATCAAGTTTGGTATGTGTCCGCCTCGCCGGCCAGCCTGTCTAGATGTCAGAAGCGTTGGTCCCCCCTCTTCCTGTTCCAGCGACGGTACCTGCTCTGGCATTGAGAAGTGCTGCTTCGACGTTTGTCTTCAGCAACACACTTGTAAACCACCTAGGGGCTTTGGTCGCTAATGATGTTTTTTTATGCTAATTTCTATCTCCTGAAGAACGAATTAATATTTATTCGAAAATAATTTATTTAGTGTAAAATGCTTATAATACTTTATGTAATTTTATTTATGTTCCTTAACAATAACTCGTGTATTATGTAAGTTATATTTATGTAGTTTGATAATGAAAATGATAAAAAATCTATGTATTTACTCTTCCAAGAACACTACGACGTGTCCATTAACCAGCACCAGCATGATCCTCAGTGTTGCTGCTGTCGTAATTCTGAGTCATGACGAAATATTTTCAGATATATGAAACAAAGAATTTTAAAGTACATGGTGATAGAGTAAGGTTAATCGGGCTATGGGACATGTAATAAAACACTACCAACGTATTTACTGATCTCCTCAATAGCTGTTTTCACACTCCACTTTTAACTGCAAAATACCAATAATGTTAAGTGTTTATGTATTTCTGAGTTGGGAGTTATTTGTCATATAATTGTATAACTTCTTTCATGGTGGATGGGAGGGCAGGGGTGAGTTCATCTACTGGTGTTAATCTTTGTGACCCAGATATAGTGTTGTAAGAAAGGAGTTGTTTGTTACGCCGCAGGTACTGGGTCTGGGTCACTTCTGTATCGTCAGTTACCCAAATGCAAATAGTAAAAAAAAAAAAAGTGATTACCTTGTGTGTTAAATCATGGATAAAGTTCTATAACTCAATACATTTGCTGAGACTTCATAATTAAGTAAGAAAAACAATATTTTAGTAAATGTATCTCTTGATTTTTTTTTTATTATATGAAAAAAAAAAATTTACCGCATTATAATATACGTAAAGTAAACAAAACTCTTGAAGAAATAATCTTATATTAACCAACTGAGTATTGGAAGATATCATTTATATGTAAGATGAGATGGCGGATAAAGATTTATTCAACAATATAATATTTATTTGTTAAATGATCAAAGTTCCCAAAGTTTAGTGTTACTTAAGCTGTCAAATTCTCTTCGTGTCACCATCTAATTTCTAAAGGGTGTTCTCAAGTCTGAAATATGTCCATATTATAGTAAAACTTACCTGAATTATCAGTGTACTTACTACACAGTAGACTTATCAGGACATCCGGTAACTTATAACAGAGACGCACGATACTCGCTTGGGTGGGATGAGAGAAGAGTGTTGTTTAGTGTGACCTTCCCGAACAGTGCAGGTTTTCTCTGGCTACTCTATTTTATTTCTACTGGACCTCCAGCCTGTTACCTGAAACACTGACAGCACAAGAGAGGAGCCCCGGCGCCAAGGGTTGCGTCAGCCCAACAGCAAGACATACCAGTGACCTCTCTAGCGACCTAGAGGTCACTCAATGTAACCCCTGGAGCATCGTCCCACAAGACGGTGACACGATCCCAACAGATTGTATACATGAGACTGCGTCTAGGGTACAGGTACCTATGGGAGTACATTGGCAACCCTGAGCCTGGCCGCACTGTTTGTAAACTTTGTGGTAAACCCGACTCTCACACCCTCCATCACTATATCCTCACTTGCCCTATGACCTCCTCCTATACAGTAGATCCCCCAGCCGTTACCAACACCTCTTCCCTCCCTGACCAGATATCTCTCCTCCTAGCGACATTATTAGGGACCTGCCACACTTTACCATAAACAGATGAATTGTACCGGGAATTTTCCCTCCACACACTCATCATTCTGTCACTTTATGTAACTTGCTGACACAGCTCATGTCCCTTCAGGTTTTTACGCCCTTAATGCATGAGTCATGAAGGCAAGCATGAACTACGCTTGCTTCCCAGATGGGCGCTGTAAACGCTTTTGCACCTCACCTGGCACTGGATGTAAGGGGGTGCCCAATAAACTAGCCCCCTCGTGGACCAAATTCTAAAAAAAAACCCTCTCGGTGCTGGATGTTTGAAAGAAGCTGAATAAAATCGTCTGTCGGGAGCCAGAATAAAATCCTAAAGAGTCGAGAGCATTGAATGGGTTAAACTACAGCAACTGACACTCAAGTTTTCAAGGCCTTATAGTGAATGCCATATACTGGACGTGACAATAACGGGACTGTTCAGTAACACTCATGATGAAATTGTTACAATAAAGGGTTGTATTCGTGAATGGGTAGACAAGTGAGCGATCTTCTCTTTAAAGAAACAGAAAGTTGTTGGAGGAGTTATGTGTTTCAAAATTGTGACTTACACGCATCTGAGTGGTTGCGAATCCAATTTCACTAAAATAATGAGTTGAAATAACAACCAAAAGCTGCACAGCACATGGAATGATACCGATAGAAAAAATATTGCTAAAAGCATATAATGAATGTGAAAATTCACCTACTGTAGTATGGGAGACTATATGATTTTGACCTATAAATACGCAAAAATAAGCAAGTGGACGGCCTAGTCATGATGGATGGCCCCGTTGTGGTTCGATGACCTGTGTCCGGGTGAGCTATTACCCATAAAAAAGGAAGTTAAGTAAAATAAAAAACAATCACCCAAATCACACCATATATATACGTCATGCGCAAGATACTATGAAGTGGTCATTTTCTGACACCTGTCGCGTAAAAAGACCTTTGAACGAAAATGCTCATACCTTAATTATATACAGAACCTGTTTACATTAGGAAATTCAACGGTAACAACTATATGATTAACCTGAGACAGATGGCAAGGAGTCTGAACGTTGGACTAACGAAATGACTACACCAGCGAAACTTCAGGCTTGGTTGACGTCCTCCCAGCAGAAATCCTGACCCCGGGATGTCTTGCTCTAGTAGCTGCAGCCACTTGGGGGATTTGATGGAAACTCTCCAACTCCTCCCCAAATGGGCAAAATCCATTTATGGTTCTTGAACATTTACCGAATCCACCGGATAAACCTCGATTGGATGTCTCACAGGAATATCACCCAAATTCCAAAAAAAGTAACCTTATGGTACTCGTGACTCGGCTACGAGATCGTCCTGCAGCATCGTCTTCACCTGTGGTATCTTTATCAGTCTTACCTGTCTCACCACCACCACCACACGTGATCCCACTTTCGGAACATCATCACTTACAGTAGCTACACCTGCGACACAGAAGGTCAGCATGTTATAGTATTGTGATGCTTTACCCCAAAACTCACTAACTAATTATTATCTGCAAACCTGTTAATTGCAAAAAACAACTTTAATCGTTTTTTTTTTTTACGTTTTTTATCACCAGAAAATCTTACACTTACCTAAAAGCAAGTATAGTGTTTCCTGTTCATCGATGCTTGAAATTGTATGTATATTCCTCTGCATTTTTACAGGGTTCCGAATCTAGATCAGCAACTGCGTCTTATCTTGGCCAGTAAGTGTCAAGTGTCAATCTGTGGATGAGTCACTTAACGCAGCCAGCAGTAGTTGACCCTGTCGAAGTCGCCACTGCCAGGCCAAGGTTAAGCTGATGTCTGTGGATTAAATAAAATCCCACGATAATTTAACACGACTTAAATTAACGATAATATAACATAATATCATACAAACAGAACAAAACGTTAAACAGGAGAATGACTTTACCTTCAGTGTGAAAGAATGATAAACTGTTCAGTTAGTACAGCGATTATGAAATATTGATTTTTAGTTAACTGTTTAATTTAGACAATTGTTCTAACTTCTTTGAAATTCCTTTCACTTAGAAGAAAATGTTACCTGTCTTTTACTTTTTATAATGACAACTTTATTTTGAGATTTTCTGTTTCCGTTTATTGTTTCGTACTCGTATCTGCTGTGAGTGAACTGAAATTCAAAGGCAAATTATTTATAACCAGACAAAGTTACTGTCTGCATGACGCCCAACACACTGCTAAACAACATCACCTAAAGAACACTGATAACTGTATAAACTTCTGTGAAAGAATTATCATATTGATGAAGTGTTTATTGTTAATAATGTAATAACACTTATTAGATTAACATTATTGTATCTTCATTTTAATGAAACTAAAACCTTATGATCTAGTCTGTCCAATCACGTGAACCAGTTTTATGAATTCATTAAACATTAAATGCGAATATATATATACACACACCCACAATTACAGTATGGCTTGCGTCCAACCAGTTCGTCAGACTAATGAAGCCTGTTTCTGGTACAAGGCTCTCCAGAAGGTTAACTATCTCCTTCAAAGCGCTGATGAAAACTCGTCTTGTGACTTGTCCTCGGGTATATAAAAAGGCGCGTGATAAAGGTCATCACTTCAGTCGAAGTCGAGAAGTGGCAGAGAACAGTCGGAGGTGAGTTGTAGGTGAAAATCGAAAGTTTGAACCCACTGAGACATGCGCTCTCTGGAGGCAAGAACACAACTAACAAAAGAATAAATAGCCAGAAAACTCAGTAAAACTTTGGAGATTTTGAAAAAAAAGGAGGTGTGGGTGTTCGCTATATGCACGTTTACAATTTTGAAGATATAGAGTGGCGTGGATATGCGCACGCGCCCCCAAAGTGTCACAAAAGTGGAATTTTGGGGGTAGCCCTCAGTGACCGATCCCTTCATCCCATCATTTAAAACACTTTTTTTTTGTTTCCTGGGATGCACGGCCACAACTTCTTAAGAAAGAGAGCCACCCTGTGCACGACCACAGTTTTTGATAAGAGTTGAAATTTGGAATGGGTATTTTTGCATGTGCATTTAATTTTAGTCAAGGATGAACATATGCTATGTGGCTGTCTCCATTTTTGTTAACCTTACGTCGTCAAAACCATACCGGGCAACGCCGGGTATCCCAGCTAGTGGTATAATAAAACATCTTGAGCCACTTCATTGCTTATATATATGAGTATATGTTACACTATATGGGGATAACCTTACTTTGGTTACTTAATTGCTTATGGCTGTCCGTCGTAGCCGCCGGCGACTCTGCTTCATTATAAAATCGATGATGATGATGATGATGATGAGTGGTGAACTAGGGATATTGTCGGCGGTGCCACTGGATGTGGCTGTGGAGTCCGATCCTTGACCCGCAGACTCTATTGCCCATTAGGCAGGGCAGCTCCAGGTTGGGTGGGAGGTCTCTGGGAGTGCGATTGTGTCTCCTTTATCTATGTGAACATCTGGTCTTATTCACTTGTTCTCGAGATGTTTGACGCCTTGGGTACAGGTGGAGCGCCATAGACTACGGTTGGTTGCAATGGTCTGGAGATAACCACACACACACACACACACACACACACACATATATATATATATATATATATATATATATATATATATATATATATATATATATATATATATATATATATATATATATATATATATATATATATTACACACGATTGATACATTTGCGATACCCAGCTGATGGATCCATCGTCGTGATTGGTTGAATGCGTTGCACAACCACAGGATCCGTGGAAGATATTGCATCTTGTTTCAGTCTTGGTGTTTCAAACATACTGATAGCTATGTAGGCGGTAAAAGAAAATATGAATAAGCATAGAATAAGAAAAAATTAAAAATAAATAAATATATTCCTATAAAAGAGATGATGAAAAATACTGTTCTTACAAATAAGATGGTGAAAAACATCCAAGCTAAATTTGTTTAATATTAACTCATGGATGTACTTACAATAAATATGTTTCTTATAAAATACATCTGCAATACTAAATTTTAAGAGAGTAAAATCACATTTATTCAAAGTTATTCACATTTTTGCTTACTAAGGTTATCAATTTACTAATGCAATTAAACCGTTGCATATGAGACACCAATATTCTAAACAGCAATATTGTGAAATGACATGAATTCATGTATTGGTGTATACTGCGGAAATATGGCAATGGGAACGTTTTTTAGGAAAGTCTTCGAGGTAGTAGATAATGACGAAAATTACGATGTTATTTAATTAGACTTTAGCAAAGCATTTGACAGAGTACCGCATCAGAGGCTTCTGAGAAAAATTAAGGCTCATGGTATCGAGCGGAAAGTTTTAAATTAGATAAAATCATGACTCACCGATAGAACGCAGAGGGTCAGCGTAGATGGTGTTAAATCTGAGTGGGGCCGTGTAACCAGTGGGGTTCCCCAGGGGTCAGTACTAGGCCCACTCTTCAGAGGCAACTGAAGATGTCTTGAATAAAGACGAAAGCTAAGGTGCTCCGTTGTTTCCCTTTTCCCGTGTGATTTTATCAAGATATATATATACATACATATATAATATATATATATATATATATATATATATATATATATATATATATATATATATATATATATATATATATATATATATATATATATATATATATATATATATATATATATATATGGGTGCAGCCACTTAGCTTGTGTCCATCCCCGACCAAAAGTATTCATAAAAAAATTCAGCCTTTTAATTAATGTTAGTCAATCTTAAAAAGAAGTAAGCTGAGTAATTTGCATAATTATATATTACCTGTATACGCATTCTTATACATATTTTTTTTATTTATCATTAACTTTACAGCAAAACTTCGGATGAATAAAAAGCTCACCTTTACAGATGAAAGTTGTGTGGCTGTTGATTTTGGCGGTGGCGCTCGTGGTGGCAGAGGAGACAGAGGAGACAGAGGAGGAAGGGGAGGCAGAGGAGGAAGAGGAGGCAGAGGAAGAAGAGGAGGCAGAGGAAGAAGAGGAGGCAGAGGAAGAAGAGGAGGCAGAGGAAGAAGAAGAGGCAGATAAGGAAGGGAAGGCAGAGGAGGAAGAAAAGGCAGAGAAGGAAGGGGAGGCAGAGGAGGAAGAGCAGGCAAAGGAGGAAGGGGATGCAGAGGAAGAAGAAAAGGCAGAGAAGGAAGGGGAGGCAGTGGAGGGAGAAAATGCAGAGGAGGAAGAGACTGGTGTCATTTTAGAAGTGGAAGAAATGGCAGAGACGAATGCCATGGCAAAGGGGGAAGAAATGGCAGAGACTGATGCCATGGCAGAGGGGGAAGAAATGGCAGAGACTGATGCCATGGCAAAGGGGGAAGAAATGGCAGAAGGGGAAGAAATGACAGAGGGGGAAGAAATGGCAGAGACTGATACCATGGCAGAGGGGGAAGAAATGGCAGAGACTGATGCCATGGCAAAGGAGGAAGAAATGGCAGAAGGGGAAGAAATGACAGAGGCTGATGCCATGGCAGAGGCTGATGCCATGGCAGAGGGGGAAGAAATGGCAGAGACTGATGTCATGACAGAGGGTGATGGGTGATGTCATGACAGAGGGTGATGCTAAGGGAGAGACTGATGTCATGACAGAGGGTGATGCTAAGGGAGAGACTGATGTCATGACAGAGGGTGATGCTAAGGGAGAGACTGATGTCATGACAGAGGGTGATGCTCAGGGAGAGACTGATGTCATGACAGAGGGTGATGCTAAGGGAGAGACTGATGTCATGACAGAGGGTGATGCTCAGGGAGAGACTGATGTCATTGCACATACTAATGTCATGACAGAAGGTGAAGTCATGGTAAAGAGTGATGTCATCTCAGAGCGTGATATCATGGCAGAGGGTGAAGTCATGGCAGAGGGTGATATCATGGCAGAGGGTGAAGTCATGGTAAAGAGTGATGTCATCTCAGAGGGTGAAGTCATGGTAAAGAGTGATGTCATGGCAGAGGGTGAAGTCATGGTAAAGAGTGATGTCATCTCAGGGGGTGATATCATGGCAGAGGGTGAAGTCATGGTAAAGAGTGATGTCATCTCAGAGGGTGAAGTCATGGTAAAGAGTGATGTCATGGCAGAACGTAATCTCATGACAGTACCTACTACAGAAAACATCGATGAACTGACAAACGACAATAAAGCTGAGGAAGTGAACCAAACCCGCATCATACCTGGACATATATTCCTTTTATATCCAATATTAGGAAATAGTTTCGGTGTTAATCCAACATCAAGAAGTGTGGCCAGTGTCAATCTAGCACCTGGAAATAGTTTCGGTGTCAATCCAACATCAAGAAGTGTGGCCAGTGTCAATCTAGCACCTGGAAATAGTTTCGGTGTCAATCCAACATCAAGAAGTGTGGCCAGTGTCAATCTAGCACCTGGAAATAGTTTCGGTGTCAATCCAACATCAAGAAGTGTGGCCAGTGTCAATCTAGCACCTGGAAATAGTTTCGGTGTCAATCCAACATCAAGAAGTGTGGCCAGTGTCAATCTAGCACCTGGAAATAGTTTCGGTGTCAATCCAACATCAAGAAGTGTGGCCAGTGTCAATCTAGCACCTGGAAATAGTTTCGGTGTCAATCCAACATCGAGAAGTGTGGCCAGATTCAATCTAGCATCTGCAAATAGTTTCGGTGTCAATCCAAATTCAGTTACCAGACATAGTGTTATTCCAACATCAAGAAACAGATTTGGTGTCAATCCAGTAACTGTAAGTAGAGCCCCTGTCAATCCATCGCTTGGTAGTGGATTAGGAAATATTGTAAGAGGCTGCCGCAACTTGTGCAGGACACCCCGGGGACCGGTTGCTTGCTGTGTGGAGTCCAACCGAGTCCAAATACTCACTAATGTTGTCAAGCAAGGGTTTTGCCCAACTATCCAAATCGTCTGTCCACACTTCCAAAGAATCCATCGCCCAACATCCTGCACCAGCGATCGTAACTGCAAAGGCATTAACAAGTGCTGTTTCAACTCTTGTCTAAAACAACACATTTGTACACCTCCTCTTGCCTTCGGTCGATAAAGGTTTAATTATATATTTTTCTAAATTATTCTTTAGCCACCTGAGACCCAGCAAATCTCCGCTGGTAGGGTACAAATTATTATTTTTTGTTGACTTTATACATAAATTATGTAAACTACTTCTTTATATGTAAGTTGTTCCCTCAAAGTAGAACATAAAATAAAAATTCTTACTGTAACCATCTATTATCATTACTCTAAAGTATTTGGACCTTTTTTCTGTAAACCTTGGTTGAATGTTTTAAGTGATTCACAGCAAAGGCAAAAAGAACAAAGTACCAATAGAGGCACAAAGGGAGCCAGAGATCTTGGGGTTCAGAGGTATTCCTGTGACTCCTGGTGTTGGGCCCGTCGGAGCATTCAATGGTCAGTATCTAATCGGCGACGGTTTCGGTTTATATCCAGTATTTGGAGGTGGATTTGGAAGATTCCCCCGTCAATCCCCCACTGCCGCTACTGGTGCAGGACATCCTAGGGTCAGTCTTATTGCTGTGAGAACGTCAATCAACCCAAAGCTTCGCTGATGTAGTCAAGCCCGGACAATGCCCGCCTGTCCACCTGTCAGATGGATTTGGTCCCTCTTCATCCTGTTCCAAAGGCGGTGCCTGCGGAGGCGTTGACAAGTGCTGCTTCGACATTTTTCAACAACACACATGAAGAGATCCTCTTGACTTCGGTGGCTGAAAGTCGACTGAGGATGAAATTCGTTGTTATAATTATCTGTAAATGCTGTAAACTATATTCTTCGAGTCATTCTATTTTCAGCTCAAAAATATAAAAAAGTATACTGTAAGAAATATATTATCAATCACTTAATATATTAGGCTATACTATCAGTGGAAGAATACAACAGGCTGATTTATGATGTTTGTCGTTTAAACAGAAAGTGAAGCAGAAACATTTATCACAGATTAAACTTTAACAGCCATTTCTTTAGCCACTTCTGAAGCTGACAGATCTTTCTTAACAGTCCGTTTGGTTCTTAATTTCCTCGGTTAACGTGGCATCGTCACCCTTCTTTAACAAAAAATTCACGTATGATAATTTCTAGCCACTGGGAATCTTATGATCATCTCAACATCTTACAGGTTCTTGGAGCTCTTTATTCCAACTGCCAACGGAATTTACCATAGAGGTCAGAGGTTAAGGTAAATTTCTTATAATTTTCACTGGACAGTTTCTGGAACAAGGACCTGCAATTCCCATGGACGTTGTAATAATGGAACCAGAAAAAAACGATAACAGTTGTTGGAGGGAAGATTATTGTCAGGAATTTTGCAATAGTCGCTTATGCATTCAAGTTTGTGGTACGACTGCAGATCCCATTATAATATGCGGATGAAAAATATGAGAGACTACTCCAATGAAGTTAAAATTTTACCACGGCTACACTATCAAAACTCTGGAAGATTACGTATGACTGCTGTTTAATAATTAGAAAATGTGTAGTCAATGCACTAATTCAATGGTATATCCTGTTATAAATAAATAACAAAGTCATTATAAGATTTAAACCATGTTACTAGCCGTTATGGACAACTGATCATGTCGCGTCTTAATAATACATGTTATAACGAGTGTTCTTCTACACCACTATAAGATGATTTGGCCCAACTATTGTTCCATCTGAAGTGTACCTGCATATTAACACCAGCCACAATACAGGCAGGTTTAGATAGTATAAAATGCTACTCTGCCTTTTGTCGTATTTATGCCATGGTGAGTTCTAAGCCTTGATATGCACATCTTAATATAAACTTACATGTTGATAATTCGTTGATAGAAGTTAATAGAACGTCCAGTAGTTAGGAAGTTAGGTCAGGTCTATCTCTCGTGGTTTTGTCGTGATTTCTTTTCTCTCAAAGCTGAGGCTGTTCCGCCCTCTATCAACGTTGGTGCAGGTGTAACAAGCCTCCTCGGCCTCCTCTTGTGAACCCACGAGGTCTATTGGCGGGAAATTGTAAGGCCTCAACTATAGATTATCATTGTGTAGGTCAATTTATAATACATGGCATAATTCCATATTGCGTTTTATTTTTGGTGCGAATGATAATTTTAAATAAAAACAAGACGATTTTCATCCATGTCACTTTTGGCACATTTAAACCATAATCGAGATATTGGGACTTGAAAATCAGAAAACTACTGGAAAAGTTCTAAGCTATTACTACATATACTGCCACCAACCAAATCTCGTGATTCTTTTTCTTTGCAAACAATAGTTTAAACAAATCTAAGACACTTTCCTTCTTTGACGTTTCCCTCGCAAACGACTTTGAACCGAGATATTTAATATGCCGGGGGTCTGAACGTTTGGTAAGGTTAGGTAGTTTTGGTTGGTTAGGTATAATTTAATTAATTAGTAATTTGTGGTTGATAGCACCAATCAAACCTACCTAACCTTACCTAACTTCCTAACCGGGCCGAGTTTGTATAGGGGCATGTAATGGCTCTCTGTTACACATTGTTTGCAAGTACTACGCATGTACTGGCTCTCTGTTACACATTGTTGGCAAGTACTACGCATGTACTGGCTCTGTTACACATTGTTGGCAAGTACTGGGCATGTAATGGCTCTCTGTTACACATTGTTGGCAAGTACTGGGCATGTAATGGCTCTCTGTTACACATTGTTGGCAAGTACTGGGCATGTACTGGCTCTCTGTTACACATTGTTGGCAAGTACTGGGCATATAATGGCTCTCTGTTACACATTGTTGGCAAGTACTGGGCATGTACTGGCTCTCTGTTACACATTGTTGGCAAGTACTGGGCATGTACTGGCTCTCTGTTACACATTGTTGGCAAGTACTGGGCATGTAATGGCTCTCTGTTACACATTGTTGGCAAGTACTGGGCAAGTACTGGCTCTCTGTTACACACTGTTGGCAAGTACTGGGCATGTACTGGATCTCTGTTACACATTGTTGGCAAGTACTGGGCATGTACTGGTTCTCTGTTACACACTCTTGGTAAGTACTGGGCATGTACTGGCTGTTACCGCCAGTAGAATAAACTAGAAGAGAGGGAGAGAGAGAGAGAGAGAGAGAGAGCTGGGGGGGGGGGCAGGAGAAAGACAGAGGGAGTGTTGACAACGAGCTTTGCTGAAGTGTGAACAGCTGGCCCTCGTCTCCGGCTGACTAGATCGAAGGCAGTCTCGATCCGTCCAGTGACCTATCAAGTCAGGGAGTTAATAAGTCCTACATTTAGACCCGAAACACGTAAGTTTTATATGGTTTAACACCCCACTCTACTCAAATATATTATATGTAGTCGCTAATAGTGATGGAACATACGATTGAATGAATTATCTTATACGTAACATATGTAATTTGTACTCTGCAGGTTTTGACCGAATAAAGAACAATCGAGTCCTACGTGTAAGGGTCTCATTAACCCACAGTCGCTCAATGGGCGGCAACACTGGCTATCTGTTACACACTGTTGGCAAGTACTGGGCATGTACTGAGGCCGAAACGTATCTATACCTGCATCAGTGTTGGTCAAGACTGGTTTTGAATGAACTCACACTCGGTGCCGTCAAACACTCTCAGGCAGGACATTACAACAGTTCACAACTCTCACTCAAAAAAGTTTTCCTTGACAGTTTTCTGAAATTGTGGCTTCTTCAACCTTAAGCTGTGACTTTTAGTGAGACGGCCATCCGCCAGCTCTAGGTACGAACCCTCGACTGAGTAATGTCCTCTGAGGTATTTATGAACTTCTTTTTAAGTAATACAAACTGAGGGCATAAGCAAATGCAATATGTTTCCCTTCAACCACCACAGTACAGTAGCGATGACGAGAAAGAACAAAATGTACTACCACATACATATACACAGTACTTAATTTACTTTGAGGAGAGAGAAGAGGGTAGAATGGGGGAGGAGAAGGGAGGGAGAGGATCACCCGCCCAATATTTACATAGGGGGAGATGTTGGTCAAATGGTTATCATCCTGAAGGCCGACAGTGTTAAGGAGAGTAATAATGTATTACAGTGAGCGCCACAGGTAGACAAAGGAAAAAGTGGTTTCAAACTTTTTATGGAGAGTCAATACCGAGTCACTCTGTCACCTTCACATTGTGTTATATAACTAGGAAATTGTTCTGTTGAATGATCTAGTTACTGAGCAACTCCCTAAAGATTACAAGATGAGTGGAATGTTCGTCTAATTTGTAATTCACTAATGTGTACACACACACACACACATACGACTGTACGCTTCGGAGGGGCTGTCTCCACTTTTCAGTCACTCACCTGTGGTGTCCCCCATGTTGACGACTCCATCGTTGGTATCAGTATGAACAGCCCGGCCCCTGACTACAGCACCCTCCGGAATATAGTGAACGGTCTCCAAAACTGGGCCACCATGAACCATACCAAGACCATGGTTATACACATCAACCTCACTGACCTTGTCCCACCTCCCTCCATTACACTGGGCCCCAACACACTTCATGTTGTGGGATCCACCAAGCTCCTCGGCCTTGAAATAGATAACAAACTGAACTGGAAAGCAAACGTCAGTACTGTACAATGTACATCCGTCAAAGCTTCCTGCTTTCGTCTCCACCTCCCCAGTCGTCTCACGGTCTTCGGAGTTCCCGGCTCCTAATTTACCTATAAGAAACCTTTGTAGTTCACCATTATTATTACACCAACTGACAATGATTCAGAAAATTATAAATAAAAAAAATATTTACGGGACCGAGACCTTAAAACAATTATTCAAGATGGAATAGTTAACTGTATTACCCTTGTCATTGATTAATTAGAAATACCATCTTATGTAATATTTTTTTCGCAGATTAAACGAGCATTTGTTTTTACACATCATAATGTATTCTCGAGTGTTTATGGCTCCTGTGGAACTATTCACTTTGTCTCGAGATAAAAAACAAACAAACAGTGTGAAGTGTAACTGTGTGTCAGGGCTTCACAGTGTCAGTTGAAGGAGTCTGGTTCGTTGAGATTAAATTCTCATCACGTAATTCTGTTTTCTTCAGTGATAAGATCCTTCGTCTCGCCACAACAAGTCTTGTCCAGGATTCTTTTACTTGGCTCTTTAGAGCCAAGTAAAAGAATCCCACTCCTGACACCAATTTGTTACGAGTTGGGGATTTAGAATATAGTAAAAAGTCTACCCAGATCCCAACAGGCAACAACAATAAAAAAAACAAAGACAATCGGACTATAAAAGGGTAGACAAAGGATGCGAGTTTTTGTTGTGTATAATAAAGTACCATAAATTCCTTAACAAAATATTCAGCTATCTATAATTTACCCTTAACCATACTTAACCTAAACATTAACAGTATATACATATTTATACAACATACAATAATTTGAAGCAAGTGGACGTGGGGGAGGCAATATAAGATTACAAATACTTAAGTGCAGAGCTGAGATGGCTGACGAGTAAGGCTGAGTATTGTAGAAGACGGTAGGTAGTCACTGTGCCGTAGGTTTCCAGGATAGGTGATCCTGTGATCACTTCCCAGAGTGAACTGCTCTCTCCTCGAATTGGAGCTGACAAAGAAGACTTTGAGGAGGTGACGCAACAACCAGGATATGGAGAAGGGAAACCCCGGAGTGGTAACTAAGGCGGGTCATACTCGTGTTTCGTCCCTAGATGACGTTGCTCGTGGTGCTGGGTAGGTAGATCAGGACAATAGATGGCGTGGTTCGTAACAGAGGACAATTTACAATATTTACAGATTTTTAATTAAGAATGTTGTCTAGGAAAAAATTGTGTGATTTTAGTAGATAGTAAATACTGATGAAATTTAGGGGATTTCTTCAGCGACCGAAGCCAAGAGGAGCTTTACAGGTGTGTTGTTGTAGACAAGTATCGAAGCAGCACTTGTCAACTCCTCCGCAGGCACCGTCGTTAGAACAGGATGACGGGGGACCAAAATTTCTGACAGGTGGACAGACGGGACGGACAGGCGGGCATTGTCCGGGCTTGACTACACCAGCGAAGCTTTGGGGTTCATTGACGTTCTCACAGCAATAAGCCTGACCCTGGGGTGTCCTGCACCAGTAGCGGCAGCCACTTGGGGGATTGACAAGGAATCCTCCTCCTAATCCACCGAATCCACCTCCAAAACCTGAATTGCCACCGAATCCGCCTCCAAAAGCTGGATTGCCACCGAATCCACCTCCAAATGCCGGATTACCACCGAATCCACCTCCAACAGCTGGGTTGCCACCGAATCCACCTCCAAAAGCTGAATTACCACCGAATCCACCCCCAAAAGCTGGATTGCCACCGAATCCACCCCCAAAAGCTGGATTGCCACCGAGTCCACCTCCAAAAGCTGGGTTGCCACCGAACCCACCTCCAAATGCTGAATTTACATCGAATCCGCCGCCGATCCCCAAGAACCGCTGGTTTCCCTTTGTATCTGTGCTGGGACCCTTGTTCTTTTTGGCTTTGCTGCGGGTACGGCCTTGAACAACGACCTCAGTGGCATCTAGAGCGATTCCAGTGGCGTCGGCAGTGGCGTCAAGAACGACTCCACTGGCGTCTGCAGTGGCGTCAAGAGCGACTCCAATGACGTCTACAGTGGGGTCTACAGCGACTTCAGTAGCGTCTTCAGCTCTGGTATCTTCAAGTTCATCCTCTGTGTCGCCATTCTCCGCCACCACGAGAGCCACAGTAACCAGGAGTAGCCACAACAGCTTCATCTGCCACGGGAAAGATTTGTGATGTATATGTCTTGCATTTTGCTGTGAACTCTACTTAATTCCTATACTCTTTCAAAACTGTGAGTAAATTTACCTGTATATCTGATAGACAAATTGTTTTTATCCTCAGGAAGCCAGACGTCCACTGTGCTGGAAACTCTAATTCACTGAGCTGACAACATTCCCACAAAATTTTCTTGTATATTGAACTTATTTACAGATAAACAACTTACCTTTGCAGGGACGTGTTGGAGTTCAACTGAGCTGAATGTGTGTGGTGAGCAACGCCTTATATACTCGTACCTATGGTTGGATTCCTTGACGGTCGCCTTCCTCCGTATAGCAGCTGACCCCTCGAGCGTTCCTCGTCCATGCAAGGCTGCTATGACCTATACTCTTCATAGAAGGTAAGTTACTTTTTCATGATGTGGTATAGAGCCGTTCCAGAACTACTTAAATGAGAATTCTGTCATGGCGGTAAAGGTTTGAGTATTCCCATAATGACAATGTAAACTATTGGCAGAAATTTAATAACGTCATCGACATATTAGTGTGAGTAGGTAAGTTACGTTGCCATTATTTTGGATAAAGAATTTTTGTCACTTTGTAAATGGTGAAAATATTATAGCTTAACATTACATTTTAGTTAAGACACAATTTGAATATAATTGGTTGTTATTTTATGTTTTTTCTTTAGGTTACGCTATACGATATATTCATGATATTTGAGGATACTAAAAGAAAAATCTTGTGGGGTTTTAGTAAAAATAATCGACATGAGGTGTAACTGTGTGCCAGAATTTGTCTTAACGAAGCCAAGAATATTTCACTGAGTGTCTCAAGGAATACTGAAGCTTAATTGTCCACCCTAAGTCTATTTTTTCTGTGTTATACGTGGTACTTAGGGTAGGTTAGGTCAGGTTAAGTTAGGTTAGGCTAGGTAAAACGGACATAGTCATAGCGTAAAAATGCATATAATTATTAGTTGTAGAAGCACAGAAGAAAATCTTTGCATGGCAGAAAGTAACAGGAATGCGGAAAGTAGTAGGGGCGCAGAAAGTACTAGGGGTGCAAAAAGTACTATGGGCGCAGAAAGTACTGGGGGTGCAGAAAGTACTAGGGGTGCAGAAAGTACTAGGAACGCAGAAAGTACCAGGAACGCAGAAAGTACTAGGAACGCAGAAAGTAGTAGGAACATTGAAAATTTAGACAAGACACAAAATCCTCACTAAGTAGACAATTCATAGGTGATTAGTAAGACATAGTAAGTTATTATATACTAAGAAGACTATAAAGAAAGTCCTTGTCAGATATAGAAAGACGTAGTGTAGTCATTGGGGCCTCTTAAAGATGAGTTTTTGTCACATGAAGTCGATGTAAACCTATGAACATTTTGAGAAAGCTAAGAAATTTTGGCGATGCGAATTTGTTAGTTGTATAGGTAAATAAGTGTTACTGTCTTGTGGTGTTTATACTTTTCCTGTCACTTTTTAACTGTTTGTCTGTCTGTCTATTTATATTTACTTTTGGGTTCACCTGTGTGCCTGTATACGTGTTAACTTGTCTGTGTTTACTAGCATGTTTACCTGTCTACCTCTCTACTTGTTAACCTGTGTGTGTTTACTTAACTGTTCATTTGTCATTCTGTCTATTTGTCAGCCTGTCTCTTTGTTCGTGTGTCTGTATGTATGCCTGTCTGATTGCCTTTTACCTACACGACAACTTTCCCACTAGTCAACCTGTCTACCAATTTGCCGTCTTCCCGGTTTTCTCCACTATAGTCGGTGCCCTAGAGAAGTCACCTCTTGTAGGAAACTGAACCAATTCTTCTTTAATACCTACAAAATGTGAGGAATGTTTACCTCCAACAATAAACATTGCACTTCAAGTCAACACGAGAGACGTAAATATAGAAGTAAAGCATTCAAATAAAAAAATAAATTACTTTAGTACTTAGTTAATAAAATCCTTAGAAACACTGCGAAAATAATGAATTAAAATTAGAACTATCTGACTCACATTACGAAAATAAATAAATCAATATATAAGGATTTTTTTTTTTAGTATGAATGTAAGTTTCCAAGACTGTCAAATGTCATACCACTGAATTGAAGAGATAAAAGGAATGGGTGTTCCTCGTCAGTGTTTCCTGGTACAAACAGCACTATGGTCATCGTAAAAACTTGCTATTGTCTCAACGTAATGGTTTGTGCTTGTTAATTTTACCGGATCATCTGAAGATAAGTCCCCCAAATATTTTACCTGATGACTAAAAGCCCTAACGCTATCTGGGGGATTAGGTTAGGTTTATTAGGATGAGGTAAGTTAGATTATTATTTGGTTGGGTTAGATTAGGTTATGTTACGGTACGATGGGTTAGGTTAAGTTAGGTTTGGTTATATTAGCCCTAGGTGAGTTAAGGCTGGCATTAGGGTGGTTAATCTTTAGGGTGAACCCATTTATTTTCTATAGCTAAACAATTGGCCTGTTGCGTTGTGTTTGTTGATGCAGATCGACAATAATAATGGAAGGAGAATGATTTACCGGAGGTCAACTTGACGCAAGTGGCCTTTTTTGCTGCCTGAGCATAATAATGTTGATCTGATAGCTCCCTGGCATAACTGTCACCCTTTGTCTACCATAATGCATTGTAGGAGAAAACCGGGTTATCAGGTGTGTTATTTTGTGAGATTTTAAATTGTTCTGTGAAGACAATGCAGTTGATGACCTATGACGATGGCTTATATGTAGAAGGTTTTCTGCAAGGAAATACGCTATAAAAGGTAATTTGGGTAGAGAGTACTGTAGGTAACCGCAAATATAGGTACACCCTCGCTCGTCGAACCAAACTGTCAACACCAGCCATGACAATGATAACTGCTAGCAGTAAACTGTTGTACTGGTCCTACAGGCTGTAACCTATATCTAACCAGTATAAATTTCCTTTTTATTCAGTTCCTAACTCAATTTCACCATTTACCTAAACCCGAAAAAACTGTTTTTTGTGATTATACCATGATGTTTTTTTCTTGTATTTTTCGTATTCTCTGTGTTTTAAATGTTAATAGAAAGCAATAGTCATGCTAATATATACTGTAGTATATACAAGTGATCGCGGGCCCTTTGTGCCGGGTGAAAGTTTGAACGCTCGTGACATCGTACAGCGAATGAAGGTGCGCCAAGTCCGTAGACTTACATTGTTTTTCATCGTAAATAAAATGGTTAATTAATGCCTTCCTAAAGAAACCATCGACATGGGACCAGGTTTGTTCCACTATACGAATTTTTTGCGATTTTTCCACCAAGTTTGATGAAAAACGATTGTGCCGTTTCGGCTGCCCAGAACAGACAGACAGACAGACAGACACACAGACACACGGTTATTCCTATAGTATATTAGATATGTATCCTATTGTACATGTATTCATCATGCTGCACTATACACTTGATTATAGCAACGTTCACTAGTTCATTCCATCCAGCAAACATCAACCCAAATATAGCATGACTGTTTTTCCTATTCACATTTATAAACAATTAGAATAAAATAACAAAATATAAAATATAAACACAGAAGACACCACTGTACACCTATATTTGGATAATTGCCGCTAATGCTAGGTGGTTCATTCCATGTGACAAGAATCACCCAAATATAACATAACTTTAACCTTTTCTCCTATTGATATACAAAAAAAAACAACCTCCAAAACATAGACAAAATATAACCACAAGAAACACCATTTAACATCAATATTTATGCCGTGTTCCATTGGCTGGTCAAAGTGAATTGTGTTTCACCGACCCAGCCAAGAGCACCTAAGATTCTATCAGTTACCAGCCGAGGATAAAGCTTTATGAGAAGAAAGTCTTGAGTGTCAATTGTTTCAGTCCTTCATCCAGCGAGTATAGTAAAACAATTTCTAAACTAATTTTTATTCTGAGTTGAAATTTGTCCAGGGTTATCTTTGTCATATATACCCCCGACATTATTTTTATTCATGTATTATTTTGTACCATTTCCTATTATGATGAATAAGTCATAAGATAGTGAATTAGTCATCTGTAGACAGCTGTAGATCTATATATTTTGGTCGCTTCATATAAATCATCTTTATCTTTACTACAAAAAACAAAAGGAAGTACAATATTAAGGCCAAATATTTAATCTAGTAAAGTTTAAATTAAATAAATTCATAACTATGTCTCTCCTCTGCCTCACAAACACGTGTTCCTTCATTCTTCTGAATCAATGAAGAGCTTTCAGCAATTTGCCTCAGTAGTATTCAACCAAAATATAATTATGAAAATAGATGTTAGGTGAGTAGTAATAAATTGTAAGAGTAAGTAGTTTATTTATCTTAAATAATTCGAGTAAAAATTTATATAGGCATAGGAACATATAACATTATTCAAAGACAGTATATTACAGTAAATAATATTATCTATTGTGGCGGATCGGTGTTGGTCCCTGAGGTAGAAAATTGGTAGTAAGTGTACCATCAGCGACCGAACCCATAAGGAGCTTTACAGGTGTGTTGTTGTAGACAAGTGTCGAAGCAGCACTTGTCAACTCCTCCGCAGGCACCATCGTTAGAACAGGATGACGGGGGACCAAAACTTTTGACGAGTGGACAGACGGGACGGACAGGCGGGCATTGTCCGGGCTTGACTACACCAGCGAAGCTTTGGGGTTCATTGACGTTCTCACAGCAATAAGCCTGACCCTTGGGTGTCCTGCACCAGTAGCGGCAGCCACTTGGGGGATTGACGGGGGATCCTCCTCCTAATCCACCCCCAAATCCACCAATTGGAGATACACCCCCAAATCCACCAATTGGAGATACACCCCCAAATCCACCAGTTGGATGTCCACCCCCAAATCCACCAGTTGGAAATCCACCCCACCCCCAAATCCACCAATTGGCGTCCACCCCCAAATCCACCAGTTGGAAATCCACCCCCAAATCCACCAGTTGGATGTCCACCCCCAAATCCACCAATTGGAGATCCACCCCCAAATCCTCCAACTGGATTTCCGCCTAATCCACCTCCCAAATTGTTTCCACCAAATAGTCCTGGAAGGAACCTCTGGCTGCCCGTGGCTCCTGTATTCCCTGCCCCCCTAGTGCGACCTTCAACCCTGGCTGCAGTTTTCTCCTTCTTGTCGGCCGCCACACTGGCCACACCCACCACCAATAACCACACCAACTTCATCTGTAAGATAAAACAAAAGCGTAATATATTTGTATGAAACTGTACTGAAAATAATATTAAATTTGTATGTGTGTGAAAATTAAACATAACCGAACATAAATTATTTTTTCATTGCTATTGAGAACAGTACACAGTGGAAGTTGATGCGGCAGGATTTATCATGTTAACAGATGTGATTATGATCAATGTAAGTGAAGCAGTTGTCTAAATACTTCTGAAAAAAATATATGAGAGAAACAGTATATAATTATGTACAGGTGTGTGTGTGTGTGTGTGTGTGTGTGTGTGTGTGTGTGTGTGTGTGTTAGAGACAAAGTACTTAAAAAATATCTTGCAATAGGTCGTTAAATCAAGTGCATCTTACCTTCCCAAGCTGGTTTAAGTGTCCAACTGATGTGGAGGCGCGGTGTAAGGCGCCTTATATACCCCCTGAGGGATGCCCTTGACAATAGTCTCCTGGTTGGCAAGAGCAGGAAGCACCTGACCCTTCCACCACCACCGCCACCACCACCACCACCGCCACCACCACCACCACCACCACCGCCACCGCCACCACCACCACCGCCACCACCACCACCACCACCATCACCACCACCACCGCCATCTCCACCACCACCATCTCCACCACCACCACCACCACCACCATCTCCACCACCATCTCCACCACCACCACCACCACCACCGCCACGATATATGCAACACTACGTTCGTCTGACTCACTCCCTCGTTACCTACATATTAAGTTTTCCTGATATAAATCTTTTCCAGAGACAAAATTCTTTATGTTATTGGTATCAGTAATAGCAGTTTGTGTTTAAATTGTGACGCTCACTCCAGCCCAGAATCAAAACATGATGGTTTAAATGAAGTGATTTCGTCTATTGCCACTTGTATTTAAAACATGTTGTGCCAGCTAGCAAACAAAGTGTCGTCACTTAAGTGTCTCTTCAATAAAAAAGCGTCTTCACTTTTGTGTACCCAAAATGTTGTCATTTAAGTGTTCATACAATAAATTGCCCCCACTTACAGTAAGTGTACACACAACACGAGTTGGCCAATTAAGTGTGCATACAACAATAAAATAATCGTCACTTAAGTGTACATACAGCAAACAAAAATTTCGTCATTTTAGTGTCCATACGAGAAATGATATGATGTTCACCTACAGTAAGTGTCCATACAACAAAGTGCTGTTCCCTTAACACTTAAGGCTTAAGTGTTTGTACAATAAGTAAAGTGTTACACGCTCAAGTGCCAATGCAACAAATAAAGTATCGTTCACTTAAGTGTTCATTCAAAAACGTGTTTCCACCTACATGTAAGTGTCAGAAGGGAAAGTTGAGGATTCTCGAGGTTGAAGCCTTGTGTCATGATCATGGTTATGTTTATGACGTCTTGGACTATTGACTCACTTGTAGCGATGTTTGGTTCCACGTTAAGAAGAAAGTGCTTCATTATGATGTAAGATAGAAATGCTTCACTGTTTTAATTGTTACTGTAATGTAGAAATGCTTCACTGTTTTAATTGTTACTGTAATGTAGAAATGCTTCACTGTTTTAATTGTTACTGTAATGTAGAAATGCTTCACTGTTTTAATTGTTACTGTAATGTAGAAATGCTTCACTGTTTCTAATGGTAAAATAGGAATGCTTCAGTATTAATAATGGCGCAGTATATAATAAGAAATGCTGCACTGTTCTAATGTGGAGCAATGACGCTGTTATGTCCATTAAACTTCCTCAGTAACACAGAACAGTGTAGGGATAACCGTATTCCACACCTGTGATACACCTAGTCACATGTTCCACACCTGTGATACATCTAGTCACATGTTCCACACCTGCGAACAAGCATGTCATATTTCCCATACCTTTATTATTCGTTCCACACCTATTATCCAACATATCACATGTACCACACCTGTCGATTATATCTACCATACCTACCACACCTGCATCTAATATCTACCACACCTGCAGCTAAAATCTACCACACCTGCAGCTAAAATCTACCACACCTGCAGTTGAAATCTACCACACCTGTAGCTAAAATCTACCACACCTGCAGTTAAAATCTACCACACCTGCAGTTAAAATCTACTACACCTGCAGCTAAAATGTACCACACCTGCAGCTTTACACACTTGGCTGGGATTAGGTTTTTATGCCAAGGTGTCTTGACCGGATTACTCTTGCTAGATTTTCCCTTATAAAAAACACACTTGCTATTTAAGATGACTAAACATAAAAAAATAACCTTCTTTGATTCAGTTTTTGGTGTGATTATCAGACTCTTTCAACAGTAGGGATTATTATTATTATTATTATTATTATTATTATTATTATTATTATTATTATTATTATTATTATTATTATTATTATTATTATTATTACCACCAAAGCAGCAGAAAAAATGCGTCACGTTTAAGCAGAATAAAATATTTACTTAATAGATTGATAAAGAATTTTGCATATCATTTATGGGCAACATATTAATAGAATTTATAAACAATATCACTTAGTTATTTTATTATAGGTGGTGATGTGCTTGAGAGAGAGAGAGTAATCATAACACAGTGACAGCAACACTCGACTGCGCCCACATGCTGTTGTACTCGCGCCTTGACTAGTGACCCAAACAACTCCTCCCCTCTCCCCCTCCTCTTCCCCCACCAGTTCGTCCCTCACTCTCACTTCTCACTGCTCATTTTTAGATCATTCTCTGCTCTATTTATCTCACTTGTTAGAGGCTGTATATTGTGCAAGCTATTTCTCTATGGACAGTTAAGTCATGCATTCATCAACGTGGAGTCATTTCAAAACAATTGACTAAAAACTGTACAGCGAATTGATTAAAGAAAACTCCTAGTGGACTGACAAGAGAATATAAGATGAAATAAGAAACACATTATACTCGTTTAGTTTCTCTCCAGGCATAACCATTAATCACTCCAGTTCTCTCTTTCTCCGTATCAAACAAATTACATGTTTTCCTATGTTGAACGAAACACTACGTCACAGTATGGGTGACGGTGACGGTGACTAATTATCTGAAACTGTATCTGAAAAAAAACCCCACTGAGACATTATCTATAATTTAACAGAAGAATAACTTTTATATTATTTTTGGTAGAGCAGTGATATTTAAATGGCATAAACAAACCTTTCCTGGAAGAGAGAGAAGATAGGAAAACGTCTCCTGGCGGTCACTGAAAAATTTGTTGTTTGTAAGATTACTATTCGTGTGACGGATGAGAACACTTCAAATGACGGTATAGGTTAATATTATGACTCCTTGTTGAGCTGTAGGTACAAGAACAGTGTATAATGTAATAATAGGTGTCTTGTAGTGTGATGTGATTGATATTTATGGGAGGTGACTGAAGGAGACCAGCGTTTTCCTTCTGTTCTAATCGTCGCTGGTTCACACTTAGGGCATCCTCATTCGACCCAGCTCCGAATGGGTACACGACTTTACAGTAGAAGAAGTGATAAGGGTTAAGTAGAGTGCCTTCCATATTGCCTTTTACTGTAACCGCAAAGCACATAACTGGTTCTCATGCCTATGGGACCCACCTGTAGTATAGGGGGTTCAGTACTCTTGTATATTCCTTAACTGTAGTGTAACGCGTGAGGTTCTTTGTGTATCCTTTAACTGCACTCATGTAAGGCCGAGAGCTTCCTTGTGTATCCTTGAATCTAATGTAATCTAATGCGGGACTAACCCGACAGAAGAAGGAAGGTGAAAGTTGGGAAGCCCCGCACTTTATCCACCACCACCCTGCCGCCCACCACAGCCACCACCTGGCTCGGTCATGGTCACACCCTCCCTCAGGCAGTGCCCGCCTCGGTGGACCTTACCTGCACACAGAGGAAATTGTGTGGCGCGTTATATATAGTAAACGTTTGAGACTGAGGCAGATTCCCCTTATTCGGTTTATTTGTTTTTGTGATGACACGAGGTACAGACATCCGCAGACCATAGAGAGACGTGAGACTACAGGAGGCTGTGGACAGAGGCATCTTTACTCCTGTGTGATGTAAACAAGACACTGTTGCCATACAAAAGTAACCCATAAAAGTTCCAAAGACAGATAGAAACATAACTATTGAAAAGTATTTTATGAATAAGCATCCAAATAAATCAATAAATGTAATTTTTTTTATGGATTTTCAAAACGGGGATACGGAGACCGGAAGATATTTAGAAGGAATAAGGCACCACCTAAAGATTAGCCACCCCAGTTTATTTCAACTGACGCCACCAGTGGGTTAAATTAGGTTAGGTTAGGTTAGGTTACGTAAGGTTAGGTTTGCGTTCGGGTAATTAATCTTAATGTGACATATGCAGGGTGGTTAATCTTCAGGTGGTCCTAAATGAGTGTACAACTGGTGATAATATCTTAATGGAAATAGTTCAGAACGTAACATAACGTAACCTTCATGATACTTTATAGATAGCATCACACACGACCCGTCACTTAGCAGTCACTACGTTAACAGACTCAGGATAACACTCGCTTGTAAGCTTCTGATTCGAGCAGTCCGAGTCATTTAAATCACGGTAAAATGACTACACCTTGACTGTGCTCTTAATAACTTCGGGGAATTTTACCTTGTTGCTCTTGATACTTATGAACCATTTAACAAGGTCTGGTGTCGGGTTTTTCCTCACAACTTTCTTTTTTTTTTTCCTAACTTCCCAGACGTCCTCAACCTTCATCCATCTCCACCTCCATAATGTTATCGTTGGTTCACACTCGGACGACTTTCCTCCCATCAATGCTGCAGTCCCTCGAGGCTCAGCTCTTATTCCTACCTTCCTTCGCTCCATATTAATAACCTGAAAAACATTCCTTATGGTAATATATTCTCTCTTCCTCATGACACCATAAGTTTCTCCTGCCTCAATAATATTCGAACTCAGTTAAACGGTCCTCGATCAAATGGATATACAGTTGCTCGTTTGACTCCGTTAGAGGTTTCACATCTAACGAAACTCGATCTAACGGATTACCCTCTACCATATAGTCCGTTAGATGAAGGGTTAACGGTACAATACATTGAACACAAGTACTGAACTCATAGCTTAACGGTGCACCAATCTGTGAACTGGGTCAAGCCACCGTACAATACCAGTAATCTTCAATCTTAGCTCGATCTTTGGTTTAAACCTTCGCTCGGGTTCACAAAACTATTCTGAAATCGTGATACTCCTTGTGTAACCTAAGTTGTCGAATTATAGTACAACTTTCCATGTAATGTTTTGTTTTTTCACGAGTCTTCAGTATTTATTTATTTATTTATTTATTTTTGGTCAGAAGAGGGATTCTATATATAGTAATTAAAAGCTAATGTATTAAAATTAGAGTTTGCTAACGCCGCTCTCCGTTCACCAGTGAGGCGTGCTGGGATTGTACCGCGCAGGAAATGTTCTGCTCATGTTCATTTCGATCAAAACCTCAACGAAAATGAGACAGGCTGAAATTACCTCTTGGAGTAATAAATTTCGTTGACATGATTCTTTGCAATAATTATTTACTTCTTGGTGTGAGTGTGTTCTTTGTTATAAAACCGAATACATTAATAAGAGGTTAATTACAGTAGGTGTGGACTGTTGTTAGGGTTGTTAGTTTGTAAGGAAGTGACGAACACTACCCACAACATATCTCCAATTCCGAAGCTAAAGCAATACAAGAGTACCATCCGTAACCAAGCCAAGACTCAGAAATGGCAAGAAGAAAACAGTAAGTACAGTAGCACAGCATATATGTTAAGATAGTTTATATTAGTATTATAAGATTTACGACCATGTAAAGAAAGACAGTCACAAGCAACTTAACTAGTGAACCAGGTGATTATTATTGGTACAGAGGCAACACCAGGGAACGTCAATACAAGCTAGAGTGTTTGTCGGTATAGATAACACAATTACGTGACGCTGGTGATATTACAAGTGTCTTAATTATGTTACAGGAGTGATAATGATATTGCTTGTGTGTTCAGATTAGATATGTAATAATTATATCACATGTGTTATAATCAGAGGAGAGTAGAAATACTAAATACATAGGTAGGGTAATATATTAATGGTAAAATGAATGGAAACAACCTCGTATGATGTAAGTTAAATATTTACTGTATTCAATACAGAATAAAGAAGATCTAAAGGTCATGATATACTATAATTTGTGTTTATTTACTGATGATTAAACACTAACTCTACCTGGAGAAGGACAAATAAATGGATTTAGCTAGGTCTGGAATGTGTTTAAAGATTAGGTTAGACAAATGATTAATAGTGGGAGTTAAGGGCAAGTTCAACTGGTCTTTGATGAAGAAGTTTAGTGTTTAACCTTTCGGATCCGATGTTTCAAACAATTTTACAGAGAGTTTACATGGTGACAGGGACCGCAGTCCGGGCTGATAGGGAACCCATAGTCCGGCTGAGAAAATTCACAGTCTGAAGGATAGTAATCTGCAGTCTCAGTTATAGGGACCATAGTCTCAAGAGGAAAATCTAGCCCAAGGATAGGGGACCCGTAGTCCAAGGATGGGGGACCCGTAGTCTGTTGGATAAAATTCCAGTCTGCCGATGGGACTCAGTCTCAAGGATAAATTCTATAGTCCAAGGATGGGGACCCATAGTCCAAGGATGGGGACCCATAGTTCAAGGATGGGGACCTGTAGTCCTGTTGGGATAGGGGACCCGTAAAGGCCTGGGTTGATGGGGGACCCGTAGTCCGTTGATGAGGACCCGTAGTCCGGTTGATAGGGGACCCGTAGTCCGGTTGATAGGGACCCGTAGTCCGGGTTGATAGAAATCTGTAGTCCGGGTTGATAGGGACCCGTAGTCCGGGTTGATAGGGGACCCGTAGTCCGGGTTGATAGGGGACCCGTAGTCCGTTGATGGGGACCCGTAGTCCGGGTTGATAGGTAATCTCGTAGTCCGGTTGATAGGGGAACCCAGTCAAGTTGAGAGGGGACCCGTAGTCCGGTTGATGTAATCGCAGTCCGCTGATGGGGACCCGTAGTCCTGGAAGTTGATGGGGACCCGTAGTCCGGTTGATGGGGACCCGTAGTCCGGTTGATGGGAATCAACCTGCTATTGATGTGGACCCGTAGTCCGGGTTGATAAAAATCTGTGAACTGCTGATGGGGAATCTGTAGTCCTGGTTGATGTGTGGAATCTGTAGTCTGGTTGATGAGGAACGAGTTCGCTGATGAGGACCCGTAGTCCTGGTTGATGAGGACCCGTAGTCCGCTGATGAGGACCCGTAGTCCTGGTTGATGAGCACCCCAGTCTGGTTGGATGGGACCCGTAGTCCGGTTGATGAGGACCCGTAGTCCGGGTTGATGGGGACCTGTAGTCCGTTGATGGGGACCCGTAACTGTTGATGGGGACCCGTAGTCCGGTTGATGAGGACCCGTAGTCCGGGTTGATGAGACCCGTGTCCGGTTGATGGGGACCCGTAGTCCGTTGATGAGGACCTGCAGTCTGTTGATGAGGACCAGGTAGTCTGCTGATGGGGACCCAGTCCTGGTTAATGGGGGACCCGTAGTCCTGGTTGATGAGGACCCGTAGTCCGGTTGATGAGGACCCGTAGTCCGGGTTGGGATGAGGACCCAGAACTGCTTGATGGGGGACCTGTAGTCCTGGTTAATGGGGACCCGTAGTCCTGGTTGATGAGGAATCGCAGTCCGGCGATGGGGGACCTGTAGTCCTGGTTAATGCGGACCAGGGCACGGGTTGATGGGGACCCGTAGTACGGGTTGGGATGGGGGACCCGTAGTCCAGGTTAGATGGTGACCCGTAGTCCTGGTTGATGTGGACCTGTAGTCCGGGTTGATGGGGGACCCGTAGTCTGGTTGATGGGGGACCCGTAGCCCGGGTTAGATCGTGGGGACCCGCAGTCCAAGTTAAATGGAGACCCGTAGCTCTGGTTAATGGGGACCTGTAGTCCGGGTTGATGAGGACCCGTAGTCCTGGTTGATGGGAACTGCAAACTGGTTGATGAGAATCTGCAGTCTGGCGCCGATGTGGGGACCTGTAGTCCCGTGGAACTGTAGTCCGGGTTGATGCACCCGAACCGGTTGATGGGGACCTGCAGTCCGGTTGATGGGGACCCGTAGTCTGCTGATGGGGACCCGTAGTCTGGTTAATGGACCCGTAGTCCTGGTTAATGGGGACCCGTAGTCCGGGCGTGGACCTGTAGTCCGGTTGATGGGGGACCCGTAGTCCGGTTGATGGGGACCCGTAGTCCGGTTGATGGGGGACCCGTAGTCCGGTGAATGGGGACCCGTAGTCCGGTGAATGTAGACCCGTAGTCCGCTGATGTAGACCCGTAGTCCTTGTTGCACGGGGACCCGTAACTGGTTGATGAGGACCCTGAACCAAGGATGGGGGACCCGAGTCCGCTGATGGGGACCCGTAGTCAGGGCGATGTAAAGACCCATAGTCCCGGTTGATGGGGACCCGCAGTCCGGCTACGGGGACCCGTACCCTAAGAACAGACCTGCAGTCCGGTTGATGAGACCCGCAGTCCGGTTGATGAAAATCTGCAGTCCGGGTTGATAAATCTGCAGTCCGGTGAATGGGGACCCGCGAGTCCGGTGAATGTAATTCCGTAGTCCGCTGATGGGGACCCAGGTCCTGGTTAATGACCCGGTCCGGGCGATGAGGACCAGTTCGGGTTGATGGGGACCCGCAGTCCGGGTTGATGGGGAACTGCAGTCCGGGTTGATGGGGACCCCGTAGTCCGGGCTGGCTGTAACCCGGTAGTCCTGGTTAATGTGAACCGTAGTCCGGGTTGGATGGACCCGTAGTCCGGGTTGATGGACCCGTAGTCCGGGTTGATGGGGACCCGTAGTCCTGGTTAATGTAACCCGTAGTCCGGGCGATGGGGACCCGTGGTCCTGGTTGATGAGCACCCGTAGTTGATGGGGGACCTGTAGTTCCAGCTGACAGTGACCCAAGTCCGGTTGATGAACGGTAGTCCGGGTTGAGCGGGGACCCGCAACCGCTGATGAGGACCCGTAGTCCGGGTTGATGAGGACCAGAGTCCGGGTTGATGGGGGACCTGCAGTCCTGTTGATGGGGACCCGTAGTCCGGTTGATGAGGACCCGTAGTCCGGGTAGATGTGGGGACCTGTATTCCTGAGCACGGGGACCCGTAGTCCGGGTTGATGAGGACCCGTAGTCCGGTTGATGGGGACCCGTATCCGGGTTGATGGGGACCCGTGTGTCCGGTTGATGAGGACCTGCAGTCCGGGTTGATAGGACCTGCAGTCCGGGTTGATGGGGACCCGTAGTCCGGTTGATGGGGACCCGTAGTCCGGGTTGATGGGGGACCCCAGTCTGTTGATGGGGACCCGTAGTCCGGGTTGATGTGGACCCGTAGTCCGGGTTGATGGGGACTCCGTAGTCCGCTGATAGGGACCCATAGTCCTGGTTGATAGACCCGTAGTCCGGGTTGAGAGGACCCGTAGTCCGGTTGATAGGGGACCCGCAGTCCGGGTTGATAGGGGAATCGCAGTCCGGGTTGACAGACCCGTAGTCCAGGTTGATAGGGACCCGTAGTCCAAGGATAGGGGACCCGTGGTCCTGGTTGCCAGATAGGGGACCCGTAGTCCGGGTTGGATAGGGGACCCGCAGTCCGTAGTCCGGGTTGATAGTGAATCTGCAGTCCCTGAAGTTGATAGGACCCACAGTCCTGGTTGATAGGGGACCCGCAGTCCGGGTTGATGTGGGGACCCGTAGTCCGGGTTGATGAAAATCGCAGTCCGGGTTGACAGGGGACCCGTAGTCCTGGTTGATAGACCCGTAACTGGGTTGGGATGAGTGACCCGTAGTCCGGGTTACGGGGACCCGTAGTCCGGTTGATAGGTAACCTGCAGTCCTGGTTGATGTGGACCCGTAGTCCGGAAGGATGTGACCGCAGTCCGCTGATGGGGGACCCAGTCTGCCGATAGGGGACCCGTAGTCCTGGTTGATGGGGGACCCGCAGTCCGGTTGATGAGACCCGCAGTCCGGATTGATAGGACCCGCAGTCCGAGCGATAGGGACCCGCAGTCCGCTGATAGGGGACCCGTAGTCAGGGTTGATAGGGGAATCGTGGTGTCCTGTTGATAGGGGACCTGCAGTCCGGTTGAAGGGCGACCCGTAGTCCGGTTGATGGGGGACCCGCAGTCCGCTGATAGGACCCGCAGTCCTGGTTACGTGTAACTCGCAGTCCGGTTGATGAGTAACCCAGCCCAGTTATGCACCAGTCCGGGCGATAGGACCCGCAGTCCTGGTTGATGGGGTCCCGCAGTCCGAAGCGATGAGCACCGCCGATGGGTAATCTGCAGTCCGGTTGATGCACCCGCAGTCTGGAAGCGATGGGGACCCGCAGTCTGCCAAGGTAATCAGTTCTGGAAGCGATAGACCCACAGTCTGGTTGATAGTAATTCGCAGTCCGGTTGACAGGCACCCTGTCCTGGTTGATGTGACCCAGTCCCGGTTGATAGACCCGCAGTCCCGGTTGATGGGGGACCTGTAGCCAAGCGATGGGGAATCTACAACAGAAAATTCTGCAGTTCAAGGACAGGGACCCGTAGTCCTGAAGGATAGGGGACCCGTAGTCTGGTTAGATGGGGACCTGTAGTCCGGTTGATGAGACCCGTAGTCCGGTTGATGGGGGACCCGCTGTAGTCCGGGTTGATAGGGGACCCGTAGTCCTGGTTGATAGGGACCTGTAGTCCGGGCGATGAGGACCCATAGTCTGGTTGATGAGGACCCAGTCCGGTTAGAGACCCGGTCCGGTTGATGAGCACCCCATCCGGGTTGATGACCTGCAGTCCGGCTTGATAGACCCGCAGCCCTGTTGATAGGGGACCCGTAGTCCGGGTTGATGGGGGACCCGTAGTCCGGGTTGATGAGGACCCGTAGTCCGGGTTGATGAGGACCCGTAGTCCGGGTTGATGGGGGACCCGTAGTCCTGGTTGATGGGGAACCCGTAGTCCGGGTTGATGAGGACCTGTAGTCCGGGTTGATGGGGACCCGTAGTCCTGGTTGATAGGGGACCCGTAGTCCGGGTTGATAGGGGACCCATAGTCCGGGTTGATAGGGGACCCGTAGTCCTGGTTGATAGGGGACGCGTAGTCCTGGTTGATAGGGGACCCTTAGCCCTGGATACTAGGGAACCCTTTGCCAGGGATCTCGTGAAATGCCTTCTCGATGAACTCTGCCTCTCTTCTTGGCGCCCCGTCAGTATTACAGCACTAACAGCCGGTGTGGACATGAACCATGCCGAGGTTGCTCCACACCTCGATACGCTCTGGTAACATGAAGACCTCTGCCAGGGGCATTACCTGAAGTGTTAGTGAACATTGAAAGGCTTTACCGGGATAATTATATTTCTATTTACTGTTTTTATTCGTCTTTATTCTTCCCACAGAGGCAAGGGAAGTGATGAGAGAACACGCAGGGTGAAAAACATTGAAATGAAACAACTTTGAAACC